GCGCAGTCCACTGGCTCCAGAACACCCTGCTGTAGCAGCTTGTCAAGCTCGGCATCGATCTTTTTGCGCAGTGCAAAGGGCACCCTCCTTGCCTTTAGGCGGACTGGCACCACCTCCGGGTTCAAGGCCAACTTCACAGGTGGTCCCTTGTAGCACCCCAGTCCCCCGTCAAAGACAACAGCAAACTCCTCAAACAGCTTGTCAAATGCCGTGGCCAGTTCGTCCATGCGATGCACTCCTGCACTCCGGTGACCTTAATTCCTAATGCTGGAAACCAGTCTAGTCCAAGGAGGCTTTGACGCTGCCCTTTGACAATGACAAGTTTCAGTGGGCCAGCAAAACCCCTGAATTTTACTGTAACTGTGGCCATCCCTTGCACTGCTATGCAGTTTCCCTGATAGTCCTTCATAACGACGTCGAGTTGCTTCAACTTCGGGATGCGCCCATTCGGGAAGATTTGCCTGGCCGTAGCCTCGGAGATGAGCGAAAACGTGGATCCCGAGTCCACCTCCATCTCGCATTCCACACCTTCGATTTCGACAGCAACGTGAATCTTCTTTGTCCCGGGCTGGGGCACATCGTGGATGGCGGTCTCCGTGAGGTTGTCGCAGTACGAGGTACTCGCACGCGGAGTGGTCCGCGAATTGTCCGTCCTGCCGTTTGTCTCAAAATTTGCACGGCGGTCCCGCTTCCGTTGAGACCGGCAGACCTTGGCTATGTGCCCTGTTTTTCCGCAACCTCGGCATTGGGCATCACGGAAACGACACAACCGGCGCTCGTGCGGCCCCCCACAACCGGCACAAGATCCGCCCCCCAGTCCTGCGTCCCTGCGTTGACTGGTGTCTGCACGTAACTGACGAACACATTCCTCGAGGCCGTCCTGGTCCTCTCCACAGTCGGCGACCGTTCCCTGGTGCACTGGCTCGGTACGCGGCGCGGTTGCGTTTAGTCGCGACTGGCTGGCCTCACGGTCGATGGCCTCAGCGGCGGTAGCTTCCTCGACGGCGCAGGCGAGCGACACTTCTTTTTTCGCCAAAATGCGCCGTTTAGCTTTATCGTTCCTCAGGCCAAAAACGAAACGGTCTCGGAGTGCCTTATCAAGGTCAACGAAGTTGCAGTGCTGTGCAGTCGTTCGCAGAGCCGCGAGGTATGCAGCGACGAACTCACCGGTTGCTTGCTCTCTGCGATGGAACTCGTATCGCCGCGCCAATTCCGGTGGTTTCGGCGAAAGATGATTTCGAAGGGCAGCGATGATGTCCTCGTACGGCGTATCTTTCAGCTGGTCCGGCGCGACGAGGGCCTTGGCCAACTAGAACGTCGCGGCCCCGCAACGACTGAGAAACGTCGACCTTTTCTTTCCAGCGTCCGTAATGCCCTGCGCCTCCAGGAAGAATTCGAACCGCTGAGCATAGTCTTCCCACTCGTCCGGCTGTGACAAGTTGAATTGCTCGAGGAAGCCATTGCTGGAGGCCTCCCGTTGTCCGGGGTTCCGCCCGTCCTCCATTGCCGCGCAGGTTGCACGCCGATCTATCCCATCCTCGTCGCCAGTATTACAGATTGTGGGTTGAGGAACACGAACGTTTATTTACGCCAGGCTACACTCCGCCGGCAAACACCAACTGAGAACATGCGTATCAAAAACAACTCAGGACCACTTCAACGCCGCCAGGTGGAGCGGCCACACATCACATGTTCGTAGCTGTCTTTCCTGTTGCCGCCAAACCTAGCGGCCACAGTCACACTACACAACAGTGGTCATCCCCAAGATGTGCTGGTCCCCAGGAGATCAATCCATTTGAAATAAACGTTCGTAAGGTGAGAGCTGTGCAGTCTGTTGGCAAAAATCAACTGCACTGAACGATATTTTTTTCCACATGAACATTTCGCATAGGGGTCTGCATCGTAAGTTATACAGGAGGCTACACTGCAAGCGTAGTCACCCTGCCACTGCATCTGCAGCCACAGCAATAGAGGCAGCAATCACAGAGAAGGTGCGGCAGATATATAGGGACCTTGAATGTGCCCCAGGGAACATTGACGTCATCTACGATGGCACTTGGATGACAAGGGGCCACACAAGCCACATCGGTGTTAGCTGTGTCGTCGAGTTATACTCTGGCCTTGACTTGGACCACTTTGTGCTCTCCAACTACTGCCAAGGCTGTGCTCTTGGACCAAAGCATCAAGACAGTGGATAGTTGGAGTGGTAAGAAAAAGATGAACTACAGTGTCAAAAAAAAAACACTGAGGCAAATGCAGGGCAGATGGAAACAATTGCGGCAAAGACCATGTTTCAGCGATCACTCCAAAAACATCAGCTCCACTATACAAATATCCTTTGTGATGGCGATAGCCACCTGTATAGTGCCCTCAGTGAGGATAAAGTGTATGGCTTCATAACCATACAAAAGCAAGAATGTGTGAACCATGTAAAAAAAAAAAAAGGATGGGCACGGCTTTGCACAACCTTGTTGAGAAAAACAAAAGCAAGTACCGAGAGCTCAGCATGAGCAGACGAGGCCGCCTCACACATGGCTTAATTAAAAAGCTCACCAACTATTATGAATGGGCTATCGAAAGTAACCCAAACGATGTGCCAGCCATGGAAAAGGCCATCATGGCTACTTTTTACCATGTTACATCTACTGATTACGAGCCTCGCCATGTGCAATGCCCTACTAGAGTGAACTCGTTGTGCAAGTTTAATGCGGCGGAAACCTCAGGGGAACCAGCAACTTCACACAAGCTGCAGCTTCCTGCACATGTTCGGGCAGCACTCCTGCCTATATATAAGCGCCTTTCAGCAAGGGAACTTCTGGAAAGATGCCAGCAAGGCAGAACTCAAAATGCCATTGAGATTCTCAACAATATGATTTGGTCGTTCCAATCCAAAACACAGTGTGCCTCTCTCCTAACTGTTGAGAGTTCTTTGGCAGATGCAGTTTGCCGTTTTAATGCTGGCTGTGGAAAAGCACGACAAGGAATCACACCACAACTTGGTTACATTCCAGAATCGTGCTCCCTGCGGCACGCTGCTGAAGAGAACGCACGACGTATGAAAAAGGCGACCAAAGTGCACGAACTGCTCCAAAGAAGCAAAAAAATGGATTAAAATCAAAACAGAATCTCTCTGCAGAGGCAAAGGACTACATCCTAGGCGGGTTTTAGGTGTTCAAAGTTAATATTTAACTGCTTTCATGAAATAAAACTTTGAGCTCCATTTTCACAGCTTCCATTTCTTGTGTAGTTGCTGTCAGTCATCGTAGTGCTACTTCAGAGCTAATGAAGATAAAATCATTTTGTTTTTGCACTTAGATCCTGATACATTGGTGAGCGCTGTAACGCTATTCATTTTTATCTGGCCATCATAAAAATCTTATAATTTTATTTTTGCAAAAGTTGTCGTTAAGAAAATATCTATAGGACATTTCAAAAATTTTTTTTTTCTGTGCTCGTGTGGATATTAAAAAAAATAAACTAATAGCTTTACGGCAACCAGTGTGCCTTGCTGAATATGCTCAATCAAAAATTTTGACGAACTTTTGTCTTATTTATTGATTAATTTTAGGATGACAGTAAGACTATATCAAGTGCCGTAACTCAAAAACTACAAGAGGTAGCTCAAAACTGATTTCAGTTATGATATCAGCATAACAAATCACATCGGTGTGCCAAATTTCATCATTTTAGTCCCATAAATAACAAAAATAGTTTTCATTGCCACGTCTCCCCTTAAGTTAGTTAAGGATCACGCAGAGAGAAATGAAAAGGAAAATGATAGGTGTAACTCTAAGCAACAAGAAGAGATCAGAGCGAGTCGGAGAACAAACCGGGGTTAAGAATGTCATAGTCGAAATTAAGAAGAAATGGTCATGAGCCAGGCAAGTTGTGCAAAAGCAAGATAACTGCTACTCATTCAGGATCACAGACTGGATTCCCAGAGAGGGCAAGCGGGTGAGGAGGAGATGGAAAGTTAGGTGGGCACACGAGATTAAGAACTTTGCGGGTATAAAGCAGCAGCAGCAAGCACAGGACCGAATTGACTGGTGAAACATGGGAGAGGTCTTTGTTCTACAGTGGGCGTAGTCGGGCTGATGATGGTCATGATGATACTTGAGGACAACTTTCTGTGGCAATGAAGGGAAAGCTGCAGGGGCGGAGCTCCAGCGCATGTACTCCTCGGCAAAGTAGTCCACTTTGACTTTTGTTTCAAATGATGGTCGTATACAAATAATAACACTGCATAGAATTTGCTGCGTTCGCTTACACAGCCATTTGTGAGTGAAATTTGATAAAAGCTCCTTTAGCTAATTTGCGTAATACCTGGAGTGGGACGAGCACTCATCTGAAAAGGAAGACGCCATTTCGACTGAGTGCATCGAAAACGTGTGACGTTTTCAGGCATGCAAAAACACGAATTGACACTTCATGAAGTAAAAGAGGTAATAATATCTCATGGGTTCGTGCAGCGTCCCTTTATAAGCAGTATCTAGCAGAAAATAAAGTATTGTTTTTTCATTATTGTCACGCCGAAAAAAATTTTCTTCAGCAGTGGCACACGCCCACTTTGGTTTTGTAGCCTTCCCTTCATTGCGACAGGAAGTTGTCCTTGAGTATAGCAGTATGTCATGCTACCAAGTCAGAAATTCCGCTTTTTTTTTTAGTTCATTTCTTGTGCATCACCCTTAAATGCAGCTCATGGGCATGTGCATGCATTGTGCTGAGGTGAATAATTAATGGAGCATTGCATGTGTTGTGTGGGGGAAGTTGTCTTTTTGTGTTTCTTTGTCGTTCAATTTTCACCCATGCCTTGTATAAGAGCTTCGTGCATTCCATAAAGCTGAAAGATTTTTGCACTGCTGAACACTGCTTGTCACTAAGTGGAATAAGCAAGGCTCAATGCATTAAAAATGTGTTCTTCAAGCTAGCACTTGGAAGTTTATTTTACGGCACCTTTACTTGGCCACAGTAATATTTTTCAAACTCTTCCTTTATTTCAGAGGACAGAAAAATGAATGATACACCTTGCCAGAGGCCAACTTCCACCCAGAGTATTGAAGATATGCTTGCCATGCTGGAAACAAAAGTTCAAGATAGCCGGAAGACATCAGCAATGTTCACAAACTTTATTACAACAGTTTTAGAATCGTGAAGCAAAATAAATATATGTTCTATTCACTTCGTGTACTGCCCATGGTTCATAGAATAGCGTGACTCTTTTGAGAGACTACTCACTCACCACAATTTTTTCAGCCTTCGTGCTCACTCACGTTCATTCTCATGTCTACTCACACCTATAAGCATTCACTCGCTTCATGCTAATGCCTACTTACATTGACAGGCACTCACTCACGTTCATACTCATGCCAACTCACACTCAGTGTTGCTCACTCATGTTCATACTCACAACTACTCAAACTCATGAGTACTCACTCATGCTCATAGTCACGACTTCTCATACTCATGAGTGCTCACTCGCACTCATACTCACGACTACTCACGCCTATAAGCACTCACGTTCATACCCACTTTTCGATGTAGGCAGAAATGCTGTGGCCCGTGTGCTCAGATTTGGGTGCACGTTAAAGAACCCCAGGTGGCCAAACTACCAGAGCCTTTCACTACGGCGTCTCTCATAATCATATAGTGGTTTTGGGATGTTAAACCTTGCATATCAATCAACGTTCTGTGGGATATCGCTGTGAGAGCGCCACGCTCTTGGAGTGAACGGACACAGTTGACACGGTTGGAACAAACCGAAACAACATACATATTTAACTACCTTTAGAACGACGATATCTTCAGCCAAATTATTATACATCAATCGTTGTCAGCACACTAAGCAACCTTACACGATATTACACAGCACTTAACAACGTAAACCTAAGAACACACTCGAGGCAGCTTCGCCAATGCCCGACTTATCACGAGGTCTCACCGCAGACGGCCCGCGGTGCCTCCTACGGCAGACCCACCGCTAGAGACGAGCATTCGCCCCAACTGCCACACACCGAAGAGACCCGCTTCTTTCTCGTGTGCCGCCACCCAGGATTCCGCCAGGCGTCACCGCCGGCGCTATACCATGATGACGATGGTGGTAATAAACGCTCGCGAGCACAATGCCACCTACCGCGCGATAGTCGCGACCCCTGAATGCGGCTACTGCGCGAGACACGTGCGCCACGAGGTGCGAACAACTTTACAGGGGGTGTTAGCACCCCCACAATTCATACTCGCGCCAACTCTCATTCAGTGGTTTTCACTCATATTCATAGTCACGACTACTCACACTCATGAGTACTCAACTACTCACACTCACAAGTACTCGAATTCATACTCATGACTGCTAACGTCCATAAGCAATCCCGTGTTAATGCCCATGCCTACTCAGTCATAGGCACTTCCTCACGTTCATGCTCACGCCTACTCACACTCATTCGTTTCATACTCACTACTCACACTCATAGTTACACAGTCATGTTCACACTCACGCCTACTCAAGATTGTAGGCAATCATTCACCTTTGCATTCACGCCCTTTCACACTTATGAGTACTCAATCACGTACGTACGCCTACTCACACTCGTAGGCACTGACACACACACATCGGCTCTCACTCACGTACGTGCTCACGCTTACTCACAGTCATAGGCACTCACGCCTACTCACACACATACAAACTCACTCACGTTCATACTCATACCTACTGACACTCATACGCACTCACTTTCATGCTCACATGTACTCACCATCAGCGTCACTATGCCTACTGCAGGACAAAGGCCTCTTCTCTGTTCTGCCAGTCAACTCGGTTCTGTGCTTGGTGCTGCCACTTTATACCCACAAACTTCCTAATCTCATCTGCCCACCTAATTTTCTGTCTCCCCTTCACCTGCTTGCCTTTACAAGGAATCTGCGGAAAGCAAAAGCTATGTACAACAACCTTGGAAGAGTACAGCGCTTCAAGGTGACGATGCACAGTAACTCTGAAGCATGCTGTCGAAATAAGATGGCATTTCGCCTTAATAAACTGCGCGAAACTGGCACAATAGTATTCAGCCATTCCTTATATAAACATTGAGGTGGCGCTATGTGTACTAGGTTACTAATGAGACAATCAAGCGCATTGGAGCTCATATAAGCATCAATGCTCTAGATATCGAAGGGAGTGCCAACATAGCACTAGGTTTTTGTCGCTGCTTTGTTACTTTGTCACTCTTCTTTGTGCGTTTGTATTCTATTATTGTGCCACGGCTCGACGTGCTGCTTGCAATACGCACATCAATCGGGGAGCACCTAAGTGCATCTGTGTAAAATCAGACTGTAGCCTTCTTTGAGGGTCGGCAGGCTCCTCAAACAGGGAATGACTCGGCGCAATTTTGACACACCTGCACATCTATTTGTGCGCCACGACGAGTAGCAGGCGCTGACACACTGTTTAAAACTCAGTAATGCGTTGGAAGCATTTGAAACACGCAGTTACGCGCTTTCGTAGGCTACGACGGCTGCGGGCAAAATGCAGATGCTCCCGCCGCCACTTATCGGCCATCTGAACATCACTCGAGTGGCCTAGAGAAGGGAGAGTGTCCAAGCGCCGTACGAACAAATGAGAGAAGTCAGGGCCTTTCGCAGTGAGCACCCGTGCAGCGGCGCTGCCGTGTCAGACACTTGCTGAACTAGGATTTAGTGCAACAAAATGTGGATCGATGGTATTCAATGATCACTAAGACCAGGCGGTCTCAATACAGGACCGAGAAATACTGAGGTTAAGCGAGTACAATCACCTCGTAGTACGAATAAATGAGGAAGTAGATATATGGACGTACATGAAAAAAACTATCGGCAGCAAAGGGAAAGAGGAATGCTGCAATAATGGAGCACAGAGCGTTATGGGAATACAATAGATACGAAGTGCTTCGAGGTCTGTAAAAGCGTAGTGGTTCCAAGGCTTACATTTGGGAACTCAGGGATGCGCACAAAGTCAGAGGTGGAATCATTAATGGATGTGAATCAAAGGACTGTGGGACATCTCGCATTGGGCGCTCACGGGAAGGCGACGAATAAGGCTGTAAAGGGGGATATGGGATGTACAGATTTGGAGTAACGGAAGCTTAGAGCAAAATGAAATTTGAAGAGAAGCTTAGGAAAATTAAGAAGAGTAAATGGGCAGGGAAGGTGCTCAGGTAATTGTATAAGAAGAGTGTGGACACAAACTATAGAAAAAGAAATAGGAGGCTCACCAGTAAATATATGGCTGGCATTGTGGGTGTCATGGCAAAAATGGGTATTAAGCGAAAAGTCAGAGATGCGGAGAGGATTTATTGAATTGCAGCGATGGAAAAGAAGTCAGCTCTCATGCAGTAACTACTGAAAGGGCGAAAACGAAATAAGGAGGGAAGGGTTTCATAATAATTCAAGGGGAAGCGCTATACTGTTTGAAGTGAGGTCAGGTTGCCCTAGAACACGTAGTCATAAAGCGAGATTCAGTAAAGAAGAGGAACAATGTACAGTACCGTCCACTGTAAAAGGGAACACTTGTGGGGTCTCGAATTGGCGAGCGAGCGCCACGCTCTTGAAGTGAACGAACACATAGACGCGGTCGGTACAAACCAACAAACACATACACATTTATTTAACTAATTTTAGAAGAAACGATATCCGCCGAATCGGTACATCAATTGTAATTAGCACGCTATCATACAAACAACATAATACAGTAACACACCAAACCCACAATAACATATCCAAAGCGGCGTCGCCAACACTTGAATTACCACGAGGGCTCGCTCAACTCTCGCCCGCCACCAAGGCTTGCCTTCCGCCAGGGGTCACTACCGGCGCTACCATCCACCGTGACAGCCCGACCAGGTGGTCGGGCTGTCACGGTGGATGGACGTGTTTTTCGGGCGCTCCGGATCAACTGCGCAGATAAGTGTTTTTGCATGTTTTGAGCTTGTCTTTATAATTATAAGGCAGCGGTTGAAATCTTCGTAGCACTAATTTTATGGTACGGCTTTTTGGGGGGCCAGTCACCAGGTATTTATTAGTGCGGGTGTGTGTGTGTTTGAATTTTTTTTTTGTTTTTTTTCTTTTGCCACCCTGTGGGGGAGGTGCGCGTACATTGAACGCGCAAATTTTTGTAGTAGAGCTTAGACTTCCTTTTTTTTCGTAGTGCACGGCTCGAGTTTAATAATTATCGAGTATAGGGACAATTGGTGTCAGAAAGACATGGTTAAAAAGACTGTAAAGTGTTCAGGATGTGGAGTGGGTTTGAAAGTGGACTCAAGCGTAGAAGCGGATAGAGAAGAGGCTGACGCGAAGTGTAGGCAATGTGAGGTCAAGGAAAAAATGGAGAAAATGATGGTTGCCCAAATTGAACTGCTGGTGAGAATCGATGAGCTCGAGACTGCGTTGGCGACAGAGCAAGAGAAAACGAGGGCAATAGGAGAAAGACTGAAGTCCACCGAGGAAGCACTAGCGAAGCTGAACAAAGAAGCGGCCTACGGAGAGAACAGTAGAGAACCGGCAACCAGAACGGTGCAGAAGGAAGAACAAGCAAGTTTGGAAAAAACAGGTTTAGCCGGTTCAACTGTCGCAAGGCCCAGCTTCAGCGAGGTAGTGGTGGGGCTGGAAGGGGACATAGCAGCCGGCGTCACAGGTGCAAGTAGCCCCCAGGTGCAGGACGCTCCATCTGAAAAGTCACAGCATGTGATAATCGCCGGGGACTCGAATTTAAATCGATGCACAGAAGCCATCAAAGAGAGGGTAAGAGGTGACAAGAGGGTTGCAGTAGGGGCGTTCTCAGGACGCAAGCTTGAAGCAGTCATGAGGCAAGCGAGCGCAAAACTCAAAACTACAGCTGATAGACGAAACCTCGTGATAATTTCAGGCGGTTTAAACGATGTCTTAAATGAAGATACAGCAGGACTAGCAGGCACACTGGCGAAAGCCGTCGATGACATGCGCGCCACTTCTCCTAAGGTACAGGTAGTGATATGCACGATACCGGAGGTACCTGTGCGTGATAGCGACCTGCAAAGAGCGGTTGTCAACGCAAACCAAGAGATATGGCGAATGAGTCGAGAGAAAGGCTTTGAGGTGGTGGAAATAAACAGAAAGGTGCATAGGTGGGGTGGTTTTCAACGAGACAGAATTCACTTCGATGGGCGACTAGGTCA